CATTCCCCCCTGGCTGGGGGAATTCTGGGAGTTGAAGTCCACCCGTCTGAAAGTCGACGAGGTTGAGAAACACTGTTCTAAAGTAACAGCAACAGGAGTCATCATCAGAGAGAAGGATTACGAAGCACGGTTTGGTCCGAAGGAAAGGAGGTGGTCTTGCCTCCCAGTGAAAATCCAAGAGTTTCCTAGGGGAGGAAAAGACTGGGCAATCGTTGCTCTAAATCCCCCCCACCTTGGCAAAATTAAATAATACCCTTAGATTTTAATAAATTAGCAGGGCAGGTGCTTAGCGTGATCTGCTGCTCCACTCCCAGGCTGCGTTTGCACAACCCACCGCTTAGTTCTGGAATCAAATCATTTTCCGGATGGGCAGAAAATGTTAATCCATCAACTAAAGCAACAGAAAAATCCTAGGGTTGGAACAGGAGCTTAAAAGTCTAGTCCAACCCCTGTCCAGTGTAGCAATCCTCATCCCCTGCTTGAAAACCTCCAGCATCCCCAACTTCATGGCCTTATCTGGGCTCAGAAGCTAATCAGGATCACAACAGATGAATACGTGGAAGGGAGACCACCAGGAGTTCTCAAAACAGGCTGGATTTGCACATCCTGGAAGAAAGCAGGAACCTTGTGTCCTGTCGTCTGAGTGGCATCAGCTGAAATGTCTCTTTATCCCGAAAGATTCACTACTTTCCATCCTTGCAGCATTAGTAGCATCTGGAAAGGGTGTGCCCTTAATGGCGTGCCAAGGGGGAGAAGACAGGTATGGCTCGGCCAGCTTTCTGGGAACCATGTTTTGTGGATTAATCCACACTTGGTTTGGACCACCCTAAACCATAAGCCACAGATAACAATGCTCAATTGTCTGGATCCGTACAATCCATTTTAGTCTGAGCCAACCAACCACATTATGGCTTTGGGTAAACCCAGATGTATTAGTTTATAACAGTGTTTCCCTTACTTGGGTCAGACTCTATTTTCCCACGGTGGCTTCTCTTCCCACCCAGCACACAAAAATTCAGCTGCATGGAGGTGGTGGGAGGCTACTGGACAGTCGATGCCACCCGGGGGGGGCGCCCAGGATGTGGCCAAAATATCAAGAGGGCAGCCACAAGGGTGCCGTCCAAGTTTCACCCATTTTTTTATGTGCAATCGCATCATTTTGGCACCATCTTGACTTTTTTGACCATACCTGGTAAACACCCCTGGCTCTGCCCATCGAAACATGAATCAGCTGTAAGTTTTCCTTGCTTTATCCGAATTGGCTTTATTCGATGGATAAAGTAGGTGCCCCCCCCCAAAAAATTACTATTACGTGATTTATGCCAGCAAAGTCCATTTTTGCACCAAAGATCTGGAAACCTGCTAAGACTTTCCCCCCAAACCTCTTTCTGCTCTCACTCTTGCATTTACCATCATGTTACGCTGTTATCCAAGTTGCACATCATGTCTCCCACTTGCAGGAACTATTCTTGTTACTATGGGGTCAAAGCAGCCATCAACAGCCATCTTGCCCAACCCCTTTATACCCAAAACAGAAAGGCCTCCTCCATAACACCAGAAACAAAACTGGACATTTTACATCATGCCAAAGCTGTGAAGGATCCTCAGCCCCAGGAGGAGCTTTGAACCCGGGCAAATCTAGGGTGCCCACCCTAATGAAGAAAGCTAGAACAATTCACAGCGCCCTGATGCGTTCCACGTTTTTTCCAGAATAGCCAGGAAGGTTAGAAACCCAGCTGGAGAAAAAGTGGAGTGCATGTTCACTGCACATAAGACAAGGAAGAAAAAGATGTCTGAGTAATGTAGTACTTAAGAATAAGGCTCTAAAAATTATAAGTGCCCTTGTCAGTGCAATTTGGGTTACAAATTTGGCACACGCGTGTGCGCGCGCACACACACACAGCATCAAGCCCCCTTTTTCCTTCTGGCTCAGTGTCTTCTTGATGTGAATTCACTGTGGGTGAGGTTTGGGGGGAGTGTCACCCCAGCATAAAGCGAGGGAAGTCTAGACTCTGTTCTTTGGGGGGTCTTTTCCCCTCTTTCTTGCGGTAGGTAGGGAAAAAACACGGAAGGGGGTGGGAAAGCTGAGTTGCAAAGATGCCTGCGTCGTTGGCTGCAACGTTGTTGTGCCGTTGAGGCAGACCAACTGCAGCCATCAAAACCCCTCCGGAGAAGTGCCCATCCAAGTGCCCATCCGCTTCTCTTGACCAGAGCTTTGCACTTTTTCGCCTAAGCTATTTCTCAAGATCAGACCCTTGGCTTGCAGTGGGTTTTGTGCTTTGGTACTCTCTGGGGTGCGCACCCGTGATGGTGAGCATTCTGGGTCCATCGGGGGTAGCTCCAGAGCGGAGGATGCTTTTATGGAATAATAAATAATGCGGGGGTCAGAAGGAGCCCCACGACAAGATGGCAAAGATGGCTGTGGGGTTTGCTTGCCCAGGCGGGTTTCCTAGCTCGGGCATGGCCTGAACCTCGTCCATATTGACTCCGTCGTCTTCAGTGGGGCTTTCTTGCAGGTGAATCAGCCCCTTGGTTTAACAAGAGGGGACCTGGGGACACACCAGGTGTCATGGAACTACATCTTCCAGCATTCCTCACGGCTGTGCAGTCTCTCTGGGGTTGCAACATCTGGAGGGCCACAGGTTTCTTGCTCCTGCTAGCCCCCCCCCAAGGAATCTGGTTGGCCTGCTGGGTTAACCCTGGCTTTGCTGGACGGGGGTCTATTGAATAAAGCCTAACTGGCTTCAGGTGGAGCCCGAAGTAAGCTTGGTTTCTTCAAACGGGTCAGCAGGTACCTATGATCGTATAGACGCGTTTCAAAGAAGAGCAAGGGCCTTGGGGGTTGGTCGGCGCTACAGCAGATCGACAGGGCTGTCCCTCCGGAGGGATCCTCGATCCGATCCTGTTCGGACCCACCCTGGGGTTGATTGACGGGCTGGTCCGGTTCCTGGTGGCGCGTTCTGTGTATGCTCAGAGGTGAGCCTTACGCCGGATTCCCAGGGATCT